CAATTTTAGAAATGTTGGTTTTACATGCCCTATTTCATAACTATTTCTAAATAATTTTCTTTGAAATGATTTTTTTTTGCCACCAAACATGACCAAAGCTCATGTCATTTTCCATTAAAAAATAATTTTTTCTTATGAAATACATGAATGCGTCAACTGTCAAGCGAGGTATAATAATATCAGCGGCATTTACTATAGGCTACTTTTTAGCGCAAACCATATTTAATGATCTTATCAGTGTTATGAACGATTTCTTAATGTTTTTATTTATTAGATTATATTTTTAGCAGAAGATTTGTTCTTGAAAAATGATATCAGCTTTTTGCAAATATTACAAATAAAATTTGGAAACTTTTTTTGCAATGTTTAATATTTTTAATCTTTATGATTCATCTGATCCCTCGCATTACATTTTTTTTGTCTACATACAGTATTGCACATTTTTTTAATACTTACTATTCTTTGAAAGACTTGCACTTAAAACCATTTATCATTTTATGCTTGATTAAAATAAGAAAGAATATGTTGTGTATGGCACACTTTAGAAATTAATTAACATCTACTAAGAAAAAAAATATTCTTAATCATTGAATGCCTATGAGGTGTAATTTCTGTTGACCTGTTTCGGGTAAGTCAACGCTATGTTTAATTGATGATTAACTTTGCAGGTTAATGTTCTGAGTTTGACCGATATTTTTTGTGTGATAAGAAAATGTTTAATTTACCAGGAACTACAGTGCAACAAATATTAATATGAAATATTATTATTATACTGACATTCTTGTTTCATCGCATGCCTTAAGAATTATGCTAACTTCCTAATATAGGAACCACTAGTGGAGATTACCGAAAAGGCTTTTTTTTTTGTAAAAGCAATTTTTTTCTTGTTGGGTATTGTATGAGTAATTGTATAGTGTGTGTTGAAGGTATGGTGTAGTCTGGTTTTCGGGGTGGGGGAAGGTTCGAATTGCCTCAAAATGCTCAATCAGCAAATAGTTAATTTATTCTTCGTCTACAGCAATAATCAACATTTATATTGTTTTTTTGATTATCATTTTTATGGATGCCTAGGCATGGGTTAGGCAGCTCGACAGCAAAAAGTGTGCAGTCGAGCCTGGGATTTACCACAGCATTTGCCATTGGTGCTGTTGGGAATTTGAACCCTGGGTTTGCAGAGATTGATTATGTGGAATTAAATCACTATTTATGAATTGGCTAGTAAAAAATTGATTATTGTAGTAAAAATTAGTAAATCATCTAAAATAAATATTTTTTTGATCTGTGTCTCATTGAACTTTTCAAGTGAGTATTTCAATGATTTAATAAAAACAAATTTTCGGGGGTTTTTCCCACAGATTTTACCATCCCAGACAGTATCAAATGGGAATTGTTTCACAGCTGTGGTATCATTTCGTGGTTCAGTAAACACAGTGGTCACATAACCTATTAGGCCACTTGAAAGTTTCAAACAAACACTACATGGTTATTTCATAAAACGTAACCAGCTGATTAAACCCGTCAATAACCAAGTATAAATATTATATGATAAAATAAATCACTAATGTCTTCAATAGCCATAACTTTATTATAATAATTATTATATAATGTTTATGTTCCTTGTCAATATAACTTATATATCTACATGACTGTTTGGAATGCAATAATCCAGTAATTACTAATATTCAGTTGTGTTGAGCAAAGTAATCATTGCGGCCAACGGCCGATGCAATTCTATGTAGAACGCAACGAGAACGACGCCCGCGCAACAGGTAGTTTAGCCTGCCACCGACAATCTGCAGATGGCTTTGTGTCACCTAGCGCTCTCAGAAAGCGACGGTCGTATGATCTTGTTCGGGGCTTTGAGTGCCCATTTTTAATGTAAAGTATCACTTTGAAAAATACGCAATGCAGATCTAATCTGTATTCTTATGCTAATATTTCAGCATTTAATGTAATTAAAAATAGATGAATTTTTTAATGAATACAAATTATACGACTACATGTGTGTAATGTTTGAAAAGTAATATTTTACTATGGATGTACTATAACTTACAGTAAATGTAATGTAAATAATATAAATTATTATGCTAACTAATTGAACGAATGCAAATTACCTCTTTCAGTGGCGGATCCAGGAATTTGAAATAGAGGGAGCTGAGCGATTGGCATTCATAGATATAGGGTCCACCCACCTCAGCCCCACCATGATTGGGGCTGAGGCAAGAATATGATTATACTGTATCACCTCCAGAGGGCTAGAAATGGCACTCTCCGACTTAAATTTAATAATAATTTTTATTTTTTTTTATTATTATTTTTTTTTAAATATTTATGGGGTGCAGGGGCCCTGGGCCACTGTCTTTTATATTTTTATGTAAACCATGCATATGTTGAACCTTAATAACAAAATTTTTATAACAATAGTTTCTACCCCCAGAACTTTTGATTATATTTCCCCACAGTAGGTCTCCTTTACCCGGGTACAAGCCCATCCACTGTCATGGGAGGCTTGAAACAGAAATTCTGCACTGGGTGCCTCAGATAATAATTATGAAAGTAAAGTAATTATATCTAATATTACATTTAAGGCCTATAGCCTGTAGTTAAACTCTTTTTTGAGGTCTAGATCATAACCATCACTTTATGCATTCTACTACTACAGTAGACCTCTCTAGCCTACTATAGCTAGGCCCGCAGGCTTGTTCTTGCATATAAGCCTACTTTCAAAGTTGACTACTGTATCATGTTAAGAGGTAGGCTTATGCTTGAGAAACTATTTTAAATTCATATTTCATTTACTTTTAAAACTGCTGCAAAGTATTGGTTTTTATATCTCAATTTGCCTGTTGTCATTATCTGGAGTGCAACTGATACAGTATAACCCCTCACCTGTATTTATGACCTAAATCTATCATTAATAGCAATTAGATAGACATTATCAACTACACAACAAAACAATATGATTACCCAGTCAGTTGTAAAACCCTGTATCATACCTTACAAAACATTCCTCAACATACCTATACAGGTATAACATCAGTTAGGAATTTTTGGGGTTGGTAAATTGCGTTGACTGAGGGATTTGGATCGTACGATGTGTCCCTTTAATTCTCCCCAAAACTCTACTAAATCATGATTTTTTTACGACATGAATTCTTCTGGAGTTGTGATGTTATTTCATTGTAAATGGTAATGCCAAAGTTGTGATGTCAACCTGAATATTAATACCCAGGGAGTTTTATGTTGTTAGTGTATTTAGTTAGGGTAGGCTGTTCTGGGAAAATTTGCATTAAATTGGTACAATGATGTGTAATTAATGTCCCATTAGAATGCAACATTTTCATTTACGCACTTTGCAATTTATTTCTTAATTGGTTATTCATCATTCTAAATTTGGTTTCCATACAATTGCTACATGCTATTGCTGACAGCTTTCAGTGATGCTGATTGGTCAGTCGAATCAGCCTTTCCCATTGTCTCAGTTACTGCTACGCAGTACAGCGATTGCTCTGAAAACACTGTAGCCACACAGTGTAGCGATTTAAATTAAACCAGGCTTATACGCTATTCAGATTACACTCTCTTGCAATTGGTTGTGATGTAATCGGTGGTAATCCAAAACTGATTACTCCCGATCGCAATCAACGAACGCATTCAGACGAACACAATAAACTTTACATTCTAGGGCCTAGGCCTCCGGTGTCTAGGCCTATGTTGCCTGACCTCAGCCAAACAGTGCCTGTGGAATTCGTTGTGATTCGTTGCCATCGGATTCCGTGGTAATCGGGAGTAATAAAGATTGTAGCACCCAATCGCAATGGGTAACAATTGCGATATCGATTACATATCGACTGCTATTGGTGAGCTTTCACACACGATTTTACTTTGCGATTGGGTGTCTCAATTGCTACAACCGATCGCAATGCGAAGCTAGTCTGAATGGGGTATTAAACTTGGATGATAACTATGGAGAAACGGGGCAACTGGGATGTAGAGTAACAATTGTGATATTTTGTTATTAAGATAATTTACCAGTAAAATAAACATGTGTAAAGGTATTGCCAAAAAAATATATTATTTATTTCAGTAATTCCTTTTACTGAAGCTTTATGTACATTGCATCGTCATCATTGTGATTCCATCGACCACGATGCTACGATAAGTGCCACCGACTGGCAATGCATTGAGAATTTGTTGACTGGCTAGCTCAGTTTACTCCAAGCTTTACACAACACTGACATGACAAAAATTTTATTGGTCAGTAACTCCGAGAAAAAATACTTTCAACCCACTCTACCACTCTACACTCTGAAATTGTTGATTAGCGCGGTTGGTTTGGTTAAGGAACAGACTGGTACGCATACACTAGCACATGTGCTCTATTGTCCACGTTCGTTCTAGTGCAGTCATTATCGTAGCTCTCCGAATGGTTCGGGTATTGTAGAAAGAAGTGTTAGTAGCATTTCTGCTTAAGTTTGTACATTGTCAAGAAGTTTCTCTGGTTTGGAAGAGGACAGTCAACTTTTTGAACGTATAATTAATAGGTAGGCCTATATAAGATTGTGTTATGAAGCTTGCATAAAATTTAGTCTACATTTAGAATAGAACAGAAATAATAAGTACTATCAATAATTCTAAAATAAATTATATTTTATGACTTTAACATCTCCATTGCTTTTTTTTAATTAGAAATACCAAAGTATTGCAAGTTTGCATGCAAAGTCAGGATTAATTCTTAATCTTAATTTTTCTGTAATTTAATTCAATTTAGAAACAGGCATGTAAAAAAGTAAAAGAAACTTGACTGAATGTAAATTCTACTGCTAACCTTAATGTTGACCTAAAGTTCACGGTTCAGCCTTATCCCCCCATTTGTGGTGTTAAATTTAGAAATTGACACTCTCATACGTTCAAATTACAATCCATAAAACTTCCAGATTAAGCATTTCAGCTGGACAAGCTAAAGCCTATTATTTAATCGTTTACATCCACTTACTTACCTCAACTTTCCATGTTCTCGCCGAACAATGTGTATCTTATAACTTGTCACCCTATTCAGAATTTGCCCGGCTCGTCGTTCTGACACGCTCTCTAGTACGTGTATTATTCACAGAAGCGTGCGAGGAAATGAAAAGCAGTTTGTGTGCTATGCAGTGTTAGTCACTGATATTGTCCTATGTTTAATATTACTACTCATTGTGTTTGTACTGAATGGAGAGGTGTTTTGGATTCTTCTATTTTGATGTAGGGTTGTCAAATTCTTAGACTTTAAGGATAGATATTTTTTTTTTTTTTTAATTACTGATAAATTGTAAAAAAGTCTATTAACAGTTCTTATGTTCTATTTTGGTAGTTGAACTCTTTAAAATACGATCTAGTATATAATTGGGGAAACTCCCTGAAAAATTCAATGAGAATATACTGTTCAAAGGATCAATTATAAACTTCAAGTAAATCCCTATTCATCACTTATGACCATATATAGGCACATCATCATCAACCTTACATTGATTTTCTCAGCCAACTTAAAGATGTATACTACCCGCCAAAAGTTCGGGAAAACCTCAAAAAATCAATCAAAAGATTTGAATAGCTAACATAAAGTTATGACATTTCAAGCAGAAACAGGACAAAAACATTTTTTTTACTACAAAAATCTTTGGTTACCAGCCAATTTAAGGGTGTATGCAAAAGAATACAATAAAGTTATGTTTGAAATGTCCCTTCTTAATTGACTTACTTAACATATAAATTACTTAATATATGAAATTACGCAAATCAAATAAGGTACAGACTTTTTTTTTGGCTCATGACTGACACTACATCTTTGATTGACCTGGGAAATATAACTTTACTTAAATATAAAAATTGGGCAACTCAAATAATGTACAGAATTGAATTTTTCACTTCCTTTGGCTCATAACACACCACTACCTCTTAAAGGTTTAATGCAAAGAATATGCTTTTTTTTATAATCATCGTCAGGGAAAATATTTTTTCCTTTGTAATAATTTTGATATAAATGTTAATATTACTTCAAGTCCATTTATTAAATAATACTTTTTTACGAAAAATTAAAAAAATTATTGTAAGATAGATTCAATTTCTTCTCTAGTGGGATTGACTATAATTGACAATATTTCAACATTTTTTTTTTTGTTCCATGTACCATGACACCCCTTGTATAAAATGGTTGTTCCCATTGATGAATTCAGTATGTCTACCTTTCCATTGATAATGCCAACACTTATTATTTCTATTTTGAAATACGTGTGACTTTAGAGTTGCAATTGGTATTGTACATTTGGATCGGACAAAGCAATTGGTATTGCGACACTTCACTCAGTATGATCCTCCACGCAGCAATTCTGAACAAAAGTATAATCTTTGATTATACCACAGTGCTTTTATTCTTACACAGTTAATTAACATAATAGAATCTGGTTGGGTTGAACCATTCTTGCTTCAGGTAGCTTAATTCTAAAATAGATTACACAAACTTTACTGAGATTATGATTATTTAAATATTCTTGTTGAAAGTTTTGAGAATGTTCTCATTGTTTTATTTTTTGCTCTGAAATATATTTAGATGCATTTATATTATTAAATTATAGTGTTTATCTGTTAATTTCTGATAAATTCAAACATTCAACTAAAATATTTGTTTTTTTCTCATTTTATCAATATCAATAGGTTATAAACTTCATGAGAAACTTATTAATAAATCAGTTTCTACTGATAAATTCTAATACTTTGCTACAATTTGACAATAAATTAGATAAAGCCCTGTCCAAACTTTATTTGACAAAAAAAACCTGTTATATGCCCATATATAGTCATGGTGTGATGTCATCATGACCATCGTGCGACTCAATTTTTTTCCACAGTTGCTGAATTTAGTAAATGTGATTTTAATTTGAGTTTTGATGGATTTGAGCATAGGACTTTATGTTAAATACCAAGCTACATATACCAAAGCAATAATTCAGCTAATTCAAATATCGACGCTAGCGACAATTTCTCAAAAATGCTTAAAAATCTGTCCTGTGGTTGCGAAGAGAAAAGATCACTACAAATATGAATATATGTATGTAGCAGGGGTACCAACTTTTCCGCAACTCACAGGAATCTCCTGGAAATCGGAAAGGCCTCCACACTCCAGGAATCAAGAAGAATCTCCCGGAAAAAAACCAAAAATCCAAAAATCAGTGCCGATGAGTATCAACATGCACGGCAAAATCAAATTAGATGCATTGAGAAACCTCAATTAAATGTCTCACTGAGGTGGCTTCAGCCAACTTGGGACCTCTGAGCTGATAATAGAGCATTTCACCTCAACATATAATAAATATGCTAATTTGACATTTTTCTTTTTTTTTAAATTAATTTTTGCAGTGCTCTGAAGTTGTGAAGGCAGGAGCGACTCTCGGAGACAGCATAGCTGACGTCGTCAAGAATTCTGATATAACATTTTCAATGGTCTCTGATCCAGAGGCATTGAGAGCTGTAAGTGTTTCTTTAAAAAAAAAAGTCACGTCAATACATGAACGCAGGTTGCATTTTCCTTGCAGCCCCTAGTCCACTCTAGTTGTCAATCAAAGATCTTATAAACTCAAGATAGTATTCTCCGCAACTTACGATTAATGCAAAGTTTGTTACCAAGTACATTTTTGTTCCTTAAATTTTTTTAAAGAGAGCGCACATTGTAAGTTGGTGCTTCTAATTGTTACGCCATACACTAGAATTATTTTGTATTTCTTTATTCTGAATATGCTGATAAAAGATGACAAGAAATATATTCAAAGGATGAAAAACACAAAGTACCAAAATTGGCAACTTATTTCCATTGTGTTCCTTACATAAACATAAAAAAAGCAATCTGAGGCAGCAAATATATGATGAAGTTGTCAAAACAGAGTTCTGTACCTCACATCTTGGTTAATAACTCATAATATCCCAAAGCTATGAAAAGTTTGTGAATATAATGCATGTTTCCTATACATTAAAAATATATGAACACCCCAATAAATACCATAAAAATTTTAGAAATATTACAAATAAAAAATAGGGGGAAAAAAATAGTGAAGAAATGCAATTCATTCCCCTCAAATGAAAGGACAAATTCACCAGTGTGATAATTATGTGGACATGAAACTTAAAACACTCATAATTGTGTTGATTTAACTATGTTTAGTAAATATTTAAAATATCTGTTTTTATTTATTATGATTATTTATTTATGTATTCTTTTGTTTTTGAAGTTTTAAAACCAAGGTGGGCCTGGAAACTTAGCACTACCAAAAAGAGGAAATAATATAATGAAAGAAATTAAAAGATAAATTACAATGCTAAGATAAATTTGCAAAAATACAAAAAATAATAAAATAAAAAAACAAAATAAAACAGAATCAAACAAATATAGTAGGCTTAATGAATAGACAGCACTACTGGAAAGTAAAGATAGTAAAATGATGAAATTGAAAATATGAAATGAAAATATAGTATTATTAAAGACTAATTAAATACACATTTCGTCTCCATCTTACGCACAGCCTCCCATACATCTATTGTATGAAAACTCATTTAGAAAATTATGCAGATGAATGGACATTAACATTTCTTTACTTCACTTTAGATAATCTTTTGTTATTGATGCTCTTAAAATCCACCATAGAGGGCGCTATTGATATTTTATATAGTATCACTTGTGTTTTTATGAACTACTGCTTTGCATGCCTTAAAAAATGACAAATATTGATACTGCTTTTTGTAAAATTAATTAGTCATTAATTTAAATCTTCTCAATTAAAATTTATTTAAAATTTCAATTTAATATATTTATTTATATTATTTTATTTCATCTTGTGTCCAGACAGCAAGTAACTAACTATTAAATATATGTAAATAATTAGACCATTACATTTTATGCTATCCCACAGGCCATAAAAATACATCATAAATTTAAAATGCCTAAGCAATATAGATGAACATTAAAAATTAATTTGATAATAAGCACAAATAATTTAGGCTGGCGCAGTCAAGATGTTTTGGTTTTCCAACTTCGAGGTCGGGTTTCAATCCTTCGCTGTGCATTTTACTTGTATCCTTAAGCAAGGCACTTTATCTACATTGCTTCTCTCCACCCAGCTGTATCAAGAGGTACCATCAAACTGCTGGGAGTAACCTGAGGTGTACTGCCGTCCCACCCAGGGGGAGCATCATGCTCTCCTCCACTTCACACGCTACTTTCAATTGGGTATGAGCTCCAGCCCAGCAAACATTTACTATTGTTAACAACTGTACTTGGATCAGAATTGTTGTTTAGTGCATTAGCCAGGGCTCTTCCTTAACACCTTATAAAACTGTAAAGCTTTTGGTAACTTGGCATGTAAGTACATGCTTTGAAAACATTCTGAAATTCTGCAATGAAAAATCCATGTCTGTGCAAGCTTACTTTCTTACACAATGGTGTCATTGACAGCACAAAAGGGATATTGTTAGATCCATTTCTATGGAGCAACATTGTTGACAGAATGAAATGGTTGCTGAGACGTTTTTTTAATTTCTGGATAAAAGACTGGCTAATCATTTTAGGTTTTAGTTTCAACTTAATCTAATTTAAATGTTTTTATAATTTAACTGGTTTTTTTTTGTCTTTTTGTTTTTTGTTTTTGTTTTTGTTTTTTTTATGTTCATGTTATATTTTTATATGTGTTTTTACCCTCTTCATTTAGAGGTAAATTGAAATTGAAGTAGTATATTTTTTAAATTTTTCTGCAGATTGTTTTTGGAGAGAAGGGTGTGCTAGATGAGATGAACGATGGCAAAGCTTTAGTGGATTGCACAACTGTAGATATAGGCACTGTTACAGGAGTTTCTGAGGTAATCAATCTTTTTGCTTCTGTCTGTCTCTTCAAGGACGTTGGAAGTTATGACTGTGAAAGTGGTCCATATGCACAATAATCAGTTAACCTAAAAGCACAATATTATTGTACATTATGGTAGCATTGATAGATGTAATTATATTGAAATTTGTCAGATATGTTTAATAAATAGTAATCTTCAAAACTTCAAAATCTAAAGATGGCTTTTGAAGCATATAAAGTAGCAAGGTACAGGCAAAAACGATTAGGCTACGCTAGACTAGATTGACATTGGCCTACACAAAGCAGAGGTCTGGCTTGGGCTAGATTTTGGCGAATTAAATTGGTCCAAAAGAACCAGTTTTGGTGGCCAAAACTAGTGGGGACCAATTTAGGTTAATAGCTCCAGGTAACTTAATTGTTAACTTTAGTAAACAGTAGGTGCCTACTGTATACTACATCAAAGAGTATAAATAGAACAAGAGAGCAAAGTCCTGTTCGTAAAAACGTCACGCCTGTGTAGGACGCCCACTAACGGTTGTATGTTCTTTTTATTGCCCAGTGAGCGCTGCGCTCCGCGGTAGAAGTACGCCCGCTATAAACTCAGTAAGCAGAAAACATAAGTACAGTATCTTGTGGAGAACAGATAAACAGACAAACCGACCGTGCGCGGTGGAGGAGTACTGGGTAATAAAAAACATGCAAGCGTTAGTTGGCGTCCTACACTAGCTGCGTAGGGCGTATCGTTTTTTTACGCTGTCAATGAGCGTTGTCGGCTCTCTTGTTCTATTTATACTCTTTCATTACATATACTATGTTAAATTGGCACTGATTCAACAAAATCCCTTATTAATAACTGTTGGCTTCATAAGCTGCATAATAAAACTTTTTAGAACTAAGCCTATGTTACCTACCTCAACAAAACACAGCGCAATTATCAAGAATCACGGCCGTGTGCCAAGTGCCATAGGGACGTACCAAGCATCAAAGTCTTATGGCGCTTTAGCTATTGAGGGAGATCATAATTTTAATATATTTAACCGAGGATTTTCAGAAACCTATTTGAAATGACAATACTTTTACCAACATAGCACATTGTAGACAAATACATAAATTTTACAAATACTGATCTATCAATTTGATGTTTTTTGCTTAAACATCAATTTTTTTATCGGCAATGTTTTGCCATATATTTATGTTGAAATCTAATTATTTTCCTTTCTGCTAATCAAGGCGGTTGCAAACAAAGGAGGGCGCTTTTTGGAAGCCCCTGTATCAGGCAGCATCCAGCCAGCAGTAGAGGGTAACCTAATTTTTATGGCAGCCGGTGATAAACAATTGTATGATGAATGTGAATCCTGCTTCTCTGCTATGGGCAAAAAATCGTTCTTTTTGGGTAAGTATCTGGTTATCCGTACCTATCTCAAGCCCGACACTGACTGCATTGTACGAATGTCGTACGACCGTTGGCCGACAAATCCAACTACAATCTCTGCGTGAGCCACATAGTCTGCTAATTGTTGTTAGCAGTCTCAACAATCATTACAAAAGATTTGTTGTACAAGCATCATTGCGTTCCCCATATAATCGTGTTGAGCTTATAGTAACTACATGTTCACATCATTCCACAATGACAGGTGCTGAAGTGAACCATAACATCGGGGTAACCCCCTACTTTTCCGAAAGATACAGTGGGTTCTTTAAAGTGCACATGAGCCAGATGTATACTTTGGGCCTACATTTTAAGTCCTTATCCAAGAAGAATTGGTTCTACCAACTGAGAACCCTGAGCGAGGAGTGGCTGGGACCAGCGCCGATGTTAAGGCATTAGTTGGCGAAGCCCCACATCAACTCGCCACGAGTGTCTACATATATCATCCTGTACTCTTATATACACATGCTTTACCCGTATCGAGCTACATACCTATTCACAATTGTGTTTCACATTTGGGAAACACAAGTATGTTTCGCATAGTGTCGGATTTGAGGCATGTGTTTTTCAATGTTTTTTAGGTTTATTTTCGTCTACATTTTTTAAAAATTATTTCTGTTGGGTTCTGTTTCATTCCTTATTACCAAAAAAAAATATCTTTAATAGAAATGTTTACTTACTAGCAAAAGTTCAATAATCTACTAAACATTATTGTTAAACAATTTTTTAATCTTAATTTTGTAATGAATTTTAATGTATTGTAAATCACATGCAATTCAGTTTTAATATTATACTGCAATTTGTGAAGGAAATAAAATAAAATGAAATGAAAAATAAACCCCACCTTATATGAAACTAATAATCCCTCTTGATGATGAATCTATAAAACCTCTTTTACAAGTCGTATAATCCACTTCTCTTATAAATCTACCCCCTTTTCTCCTTTTTCTATGTCCCTTCTTAAGTCTACTAACCCCTCTTACGAGTCTTCTCAACCCTACTTATGAGTTTATTAGTCTACTGAACCCCTCCCCTTATGAGTCTATTTATCTCTTTCCTTATATTTCCTTATACGTCAACTAAGCTCTTTCCTTCTTGAGTCTAATAAAACTTTCCAAGTATGAGTAATTCATGGCAGTCTACTAAAGCCCTCCCTCTATGACACCTGTCTGATCTTGTCTTTTACAGGCGATGCAGGGAACGGTGCCAGGATGAAGCTTGTGTTGAACATGATAATGGGTAGTGTTGTGGCGGGCTTCTCTGAAGGCATGGCACTAGCAGACAAAGCTGGACTTAACCAAGCAGATCTTCTTGAGGTCATCGACCTGGGTGCGATGTCATGTCCATTATTACGTGGAAAAGGCAAAGGTGAGGTGTTTGCTACTTTTGCATTTATGGGAAATTTTTTTTAAGGGTCTGGGGTGTTGGACAGTTTTATCTTCTTTATAATTGCAGTTTGCGTTTATATTTGTCAGTAATAAAGGGAATATAGAAGTTCATTCACATGTTACATCTAAGCATCATACATAGTGTATGATTTATTCCCTATCCAGTGAGTAGTTTATATGCTAATAAAAAATCTCACTCACATAACATAAAATGTTTTTCCATTCAATGAGATTATTTATAACACGTTCACCGACGACTTGAGTTCACGTCTGAGAGGGTTCACTCGGAGCTCCAAGGACATGAGTTCACGTCCAGACCTTTCCAACATACCATTATTGTACTGCATGTAAAGTCGCTCCAGAACATAACCCCTCGTCCGGGAGGTTCAGTGATGTACCCGAAGTAATGATCTAAAAATAACTACCGTGTGTTTGTTTGTGTAAATTATTTTCATTATGGTGGCACCCTTTAAGCCTTGGTGTATGGGATGGAACTTGGAAACAACTTGGCAGTCAACGCCAATTTTTTCAATAAAGTGAAGGCAAAAACACAAAACCGGGCCAATGTGAAGTAGGGGTGACCCCCACACAGATCTAGAATTAAATCCGTTACCAATCAATCGACAAATGCCAGAAGGTTGGTAGTCTTAGTTCAGCTAAATATGACGTATTAAATTATTTAAATTAAATATGGCAAATAAAAAATAAAAACTTTATCATGAGTAGACCCAAGATTTTACAGTCGAAAAGTTTTTAGGCTTTAAAACCCTTTTATTTGGTGGATACAGGATAGGTGAAATCACACAAAAAATACTGATTGTCTGCCAAACTATTAAGTTGAACGAACTTTGTATGGCTGATTAAAAAAAAAAAGTACTGTATTTTTGTTGCAAATATGCCTGTAACTTCATGTTTGGTTTGAAAATACTCCTACAGGATTACTATTAACAGGGAGTTGTTGTTGTATGAACGACGTCCGAGCAGGTAACAATATTTGGTTAGACGTAAAAAGCAAGGTCAATATGATAAAAGAAAAAAAAAAAAATCTAGTTTTACTCTGATTCAAGAAACGATACTTCGTCCACAGTTACACAAAGAAAGCAAGACAAGTTCTATTACCAGTCGCCGACAGCATTAAACGTCTAACGGCCCTGAAAAATATTTTGGCATGAAAATATGCTTTATTTTTTTGTTTCGAATCTGCCTGCTTATATATTAGGCCTATGCAAATATTCGAGGACTGCTTTGAATGTGCCGCTTTACTACTTAATCATCATAAGTTCTTAAAACAGTCAGTTCCCAACAAACTCCAATTTTGCGAGAATTGAAATTAAGTGGTGGTGCCAGATACAGAGGTAGATTCCCATCAGAATACAAGGCTTTAAGATCGATTACAGGCCTTAAGCTCTCATAATTACTAAATTGCGGCCAACAGGGGCTTTCGGCCACAGCATCTGAGAATTTTACCTTAGTTCCCTGAATTATAGCAAGATACTTGAAACTTGGAGATTTTCTTTGACCCGTGACATCAAATCTTAAATAATTTGCCCTTCAAATTAATTAAGAACCAGGGGCCTAGGATCAGACTAAATCGCCGACTTGTAATATTTACCCCAATAAAAACTGCTTTTTGTAACTCACGATAGAGTAAAAAGAATAAAAATGATTGTATAGGTAGGCCTGATGTATCTTCGGTATGTTCAAGAAAAGGGACATTTAGTTCAGCTTCCAAAAGGCAAAATTTACATGTGTTGCTAGCCACATGTGATAGTTCCTGATTTGAACGAAATTCCCTCGCGTTGCAGTCACGTAGTTTCACCATAACAACAACAAAAATGGAACCATTCTCTCTCGGGCTTAACTGTAATAGTTCTTTAAAGAAACCAAATTTATTGACTGTTCAACTTCTCTGTCGTATATCTTAGTGACTAATGTAGTTACAGAAGAAGAATTGAGCGAATAATGGTCTATGATGACAAAATATGTTTTTGAACTACAAACAGCAGATTAATATTCATCCACATTACCGGATCTCTAAATCTAGTTAAATTTTGGTTAGTTTGATAGTCGTTGCTTGCCAGCCATCTTCAGCTGAACTACAACTAGGACTTGGTTTAGTCGTAGTTAGAATTTTGACCACTTTGTTTAGGACTAGATGAAGTTCTAGTTTGAAGTTCGACTATAGTTTGTTTTAAGAATATGGGCGAAAGAAAGAAAGTACCTGATCCAAGGTGTAGCTTAAGAGTTGAACCCTGACCTCAAAGTTTGTAGACTAACCTGCAGTACTACCACTAATTAATAATATGCTATTTCATTTACTTGGAAATGTTGATATGCTTGAAAAAATTAAAATTTTTATATACCAATAAAAATTTAAGCCATATCAAAAAATGAATTGCGCAGGAATGTTTCATAAACTAAGTTAATTTTTCACTTGGCCATATATAATCTATTATAACCACCATTATCAACATAATCTGGAGTAAGTATCTACATTGTTCACCATTTGTCGATTCAATATTATACTTAGAAAATTTCTTCTAAAAATATCTTCAATCAACTCCCAAAATAGAATAGGCTATTTGTTATCCTTATCAAGAGGGCATATCAAATTATTGAACTTCCATCTGCTTGATACATTTATACATTACTAGGTCAACAGGCCATTTGTGTATATGTCCACACTTGAATTTTGTCCACATTTTAATAGTCCAAAAATACTGAGTATTCTGGTGTGCATTCATTAATTTGTAATTAATAACTTCCTTTCTTTGGATGCAGACCATATGCAGAATACCAGCATTTGGAGGATGAATACATTATGTGTAATTATGTGTGTTAGCTGCTGAAGGATTTTTGTCCCCAGGCATGGTCCTTGTTGTTTCAGATTTTGCTTTTTATTATTAATATTTTTTTTCCTGATCTTCTTATCTGAGGAGTGTAGATTCAATCCTTTGAAATACAAAGGTTTTCTGTGTTTTTATTTAGAGATTTTTGTATAAATTATTGCATTACTTTGAACCGTCTTATATATTGCAATATTATCATTGGGGCATGATTTTTCTGTAACATGAATTTACTCTTCTCTTGCACTGCCCACCACTAGTTTAAGGTTGTATGCCCCGATTATATCGTTTTCTTTACCAGCAATAATAGTCTAGTTGAAATTTGATATGAATCAAAAAAGTTGGGGGAAAAAAAACTATTTAAGCATTTTAAAATTTTGTACATTAAGAAATTTCTTTTATAGTTATTGTATATATCAAGCTATCTTTATTCATAATCAGCATTGAAAAAAAATATAAACCTTCATTGCAGTTTAAAAAATTACTTGTGAAAAGGGATGATCACAGTATAAAAATCCTAAAAAGTACATACAAATCATAATAGTAAAAGATTCATTAATATTTTTCTGGTTTTTTGCGATTGATTGATTGATTGATTGATTTTTTATTTTTTTAAATTTATTTGTTTTATTTATTTATTTTTTTAATTCATTTATTTCAAATTTGACAATTTACAAGTGTCCAAGAAGAAACCATGAGCCAATGGCCCTACACAGATGTCCGTACCTCTTGACATAAAAATAAAATTTTATATACAAAATTTAAAATGTGTTATCATCTTCATTTTGTCTTTGTTACAATTTTTAGAAATATTATTATGGTTATTATTTTGTTGTCATCATCATCTTTGTTGTCTTATTTATTCCTGTAATTATTTATTGTTTTTCAAGGTTGATATGGAAAATATTAAAATAAATATAATGTGATTTATATAGCGCCACCTATTGAAACAATCTCACATGTCATTAATTATTTACTTAAATTTTTCCTTCTCATTTCCTTAGGCATCATCAATAACATCTTTCCACCTGCCTTCCCTCTCAAACACCAGCAGAAAGACATGCGATTAGCACTAGCCATGGGAGACCAGTCCGACCAAACGTTACCAGTTGCCGCTTCAGCCAACGAGGTAATTAATTAATTAAAAATACATGTACTAACTCTTCTAAATTTCAGAGAGCATCTAGCATCCACCAGTATTGCCAGGTCATGTGTTAGTCCTTATAATTTATTACCTTGTACTGCCCAGCTGGTCTTTCTTAATATAAATATCAAATCAGAGGGACTGTAGGGTCAGAATGTTAACATTTGCACCAGGATGAATGTCATTTATCCTTACTTTCTGCATGATCATGTGTGTGTAAATTATTTAAACTATAAATTGTTCTTGCAAAAAAAATGTTTAGAAATTACTTTTTTTAACAACTATTTATCAATAAATACACAATATTTTTTTTTCTTTTCCACTTCTAGTTATTCAAAAGGGCAAAGGGCAAAGGTCACTCTGATAGTGACATGTCGGCTGTATATAAGGTGCTGATTCAGTGAGGGCATCCACTATCTCTCCTATGCTGCGAATCTTCAACTTCATCTGGGGAAGACCTTTTGTAACCACCTATAACTGATGATTGTGACTATGTGAATATTTTCCTTATGTCTTAGTTTTGATCCTGAAAACAATTTGTGTTGGTGTCGATTTTAGGGTAAAATCAGGATATTTCCTGACAACAGTGTGTAAATATGGGAATGTGGGGCATCTCATAGCTTCTTTTTCTATGAATTTCATCTTCCTCAGATTGGAACATGCTGTGAGTCTGCTCTGGTATCAAAGCCCTCTTTGGTCAGCTTTGTTAGCCTTAAGACTTAGCCTCATTTGTCCAAGCCTTAAGGATTAGCCTTCTTTCCAGACAGGAACATCAATATAGGAAATGGATAATGAGAATTTCTGGATCATGTGCTTTATTGTTTTTATTTCTTTTTTATGTCAATTATGTGTGAATAATTTTATAAATGGAGTGATAATTTTAATGTTCAACTAGAGGGAAAAAATATTTTCTCATTGTAGGCCACCCCTAGATAATAATGGACACATTTTAAATAAATTAAAACTACTACTACTGTCCCTTGCAAAAAACAAAAAAAAAAAATTATAAAAATCATTTTTGAAATTTACTTGCCCATTTTAAAGTAAAATAAAAATTATCAACTTGAACATAGAAATTAGTTTAATTAAATAATTTCTATACACAAGTTAATAATTTGTATGTTACTGCAAAATGAGCAAGTTAATTTAAAAATTATTTTTTTATGATTTTGGTCATTTTCAAGGGACAGTACATCTTTAATATAAAATAAAATATTTTTCATATCCAAGTTAGGTAGTTATATAAAAATATTTTTTACTTCTCAATCCTATGCTTATCAGGATTATCAAACCTCATATTATGCACAGGGCCTATATATGTTTTCAATGTAAAACAATGATTTAAAAATCCAAATTAGAAACATTTTTTGATTCCTATTTGTTTGATTTTGGAGTGCTTATCCAATATTTTATCTATCCAACCTCATTCGATGGTTGTATTTCATCATGTTATGCACAGATCATGTCTAGATTATGAATGTAAGACAATTATTTATCAATTTCTTATTAATAAAAACAAGAACTGTACTACTAAATTTGAATCTAAGTGCCACATAATTGTGCAGTGTACATCTTGAAAAATTGGCCAAAGATGTAAATACCTAGCCTTTCCCTAGAATCAAATATCACCCCAAGTAATACCAGTGGTACAGTAAGAACCTCTGGTAAGGGGACACTTTTTGGGACTGAAAAAGTGTCCCTTTAATACAGGTGTTTCCTGTATTAGAGTAGTCTAGTGATAAAACATACACTTTCCCTCATTTTGTGCCTGAAAAAGTCTCCCCAGAGGTTCTACTTTATTTGGATATACTGAAAAATAGATTTCAATAGTGAATAAAATATTGATTTGGACCCTGTCATTTTTGCCTTGATATGAACACCGCTCTTCAGTGCCATATCTGCTAGTGATACACTTGGTTCTTCAACCATAACTCATCCTAAGAAAAATATATGACTCATCCATACAGATTAAGAAATTAGATTTTCTAAATAATTGAGAAAACTTTAATTTTGATTCAGGCCCTGCCACGCTTTCTATGGGTGAACTTATCTTTTGAACCGTAATATTCATAACAACAATAATATCATAATATAATAATATAATTTCATGTTTATAGGAAGTAAATTTACTATAGCACTGTTGAATATAGTAGAGAGAAAGAAAGGCCTCAAATTCTTTATTCAAACCTCACCTCAGTACCAGTGTTATGGATATGATATTTACATTATTACAGGGTTTGAACAGAATATTAAGATTTATCTGCGCATATCACTGAACACGCGGCCTCCAGAGAGAAGTACTGTACCGAACGTAGTCTTGCACATGATTAAAACGAGTAATTATGATGTATAAATAGCTTGTAATTGAAAGCGAAAGTTGCACATAAAATCCATAGACGGCCAAAGATCAGGCTCCGGAGCTCCAGGAATGTATTTATATACATCAGCAATTAAAGAAAGCAAAAATAAAAAAATGATATTGCTCATTAAACGAAAATAAATGTCATACTTGGCTCATTAAATTGCTGTGTTTTTCTCCGTAGTGAGTTATTACTGGAGTACAGGCAGAAATAAAATATGTACTTGGTTGGTTGTAGGACAGAAACGTGGCTAAGTGATTTAAATGCTGGTGGTACTGGACTTCTTTGAATTTATAGTCTGCTACCCATAAGGCAGCTGCCTTGCATAGTTTCATAGCAATGTTACATAGGTCAAACATTTGACATAGGCCCCCACATTAGTACATAACAAGGAGGATACATAATGTTAATTTAAGAAGGCAAATGGATCGTGGGGATAATAAATTCCAGTGTTAGTAGCACTAAATTTAGATTCTACCATAATTGTCCATATATTAAGAAGCCACCATCCGTAATCTTCAATACCTTTAAAATTTATTAAATTGTTGCTGCTAATTTGAGAAATGCAGGCTACTCATGTTTGTGTTCTTAAATCGGCCTACATTTCTATGAGGGGAAAAAATCTTTTATTAGACAGATCAGAGCATAAAACAATATGATCAAATTGTAGCTGCTAATGTATACTTTAGTTAAGAAATCTAAGTTTGTTCATTATAGCCTACAACAAAGAGATTGCATTTATATTACATCAGAGCCTAAAATTTTCTGATATTTGGATTTGGAAATCATCTAAATTTTTAAAACAAATCTAAAAATATCCAGTTATTCTCTGCTTGACCGTGTAATTGACCTAAGAGCATTTTTAACCTAGAGTTCGAAAAACTGTGTTCTTCAGAATTCTACATGGCCTTTGGCGTGTCTTAACGTTATGAGACAAAACCATCGCAATTTATTTGTAGTACTGTACTTGTCTTTTCAGATCTGTTAAAGATCTCATTTTGAAAGTTGCCTACGCTCTAAGCAGGGATACAATGTCTTCATAAATGTATACTGGGTGATTTTTATCAACTTTAATTGAACCATGTTGGTATGTGTTAATAGAAAATTGTCAGATATTTTTACACTAAATGGATGAATTTTAGCCAAAATGAATTGATAGTGATTTTTATTTCAAACAATTTAGATATTAGAACTGAAGTGGGCATGAAGAGGCAAACAAATGTTCATTTTTATCTTGAGTTATCAATTGAATTTAAAGAGTGATGAACTTTGAACTGCTTTAAAGCAGGGCATATGCCGTAAGATATTTGTCTGTCAGATTCAGAAAATGTTTGATTTGACTTTATCTGATAGTGTATCCTTGTACCATATGTGTCTGATCAAAAAAATCCATTGATTGATGAACTTTGAACTTTTAACTGGAAAAAAATTGGAATTGCTTTTAAAGCTGGGCATATGATATCAGATTTTTGTCTCTGTTTGATCAGACTTTATCAAATAGTGTATGCTTGTACCATATATATCTGATCAAGCAAATTGATTCAGTCAGTGATGAACTTTGAACTGGATGAACTACTTTAATGCTGGGCCTATGCCATCAGATTCAGAAAATATCTGATCAGACTTTATCCTATTTTGTATGCTTGTGCCAGATATATCTGATAAAAAAAAATGAGTCAGTCTATTATACCAGGCACACGCTACACGGATTCCATGAAAAGCACAATGCAAAAAAGCTGGTGTTGCATTGTTAAGCTAACAGAGAATGGAGACTAGAGTATGTGCCCAGTATGTGCCCATCCTTGTTTATTTGCAAATTGATAACATTCAAACAATGTCAAGTCTAACATACAAAAACTTGGATAGTGGATATGCATCATTGTGTTAATAATTATGCCCTACAGCATTAATCTTCGGTTTGTATGAATAAATTAATCATGTGTTGTAAATATAGAATAGATAGAACAAACAATCCTTTACCCATTGTAAATCCTTATATTAATATTTATAGGTGGAAAATTAGTTGCCTTCTACATAACTGAATTTTTAGAATCATTCGGAAAAAAACTAAAAACATTTGACAATTTAATATATACCCAGTATTCAAATATTTTTATGATAAAGTTTTAATGATTTAATTAATATTATCACATCGAGTATAAGAATGTATTTTCTGTCATGAATATATTGTTTTTCAACCATTGAATCATATTGTTTGTACAATTTTAATTGGACGAGGGATTAGGCAGAAGGTGGCAAACTTTACAAAATCAAAATGGCCGTCTGTCAAACTCATAGTTTAAATGTTTGATGGTATTATTAATAGGCATCCTGTAAAGTAAAGCTGTCATAGTACAATCATGACTTTTTGTACTGGTGTTTCTTTTAGTTACATATTGCACCAATTCTTCTAATTTAAGATCAACTTTCTTTTGTCCATGTACATTAAAATGTAAAAGGAAATTAATTTTAAAGTGGTCTAATGATGAAATGTGAGTTTTTTTTTAAGTTTTTGGAAGAGGCTGTATTTTTTGTTATTTATTTATTTTTTTTCATACTATTGTATGTTTATAATATGATTGATGTACAATTTAGCATACGGTTCTTTTCTATACTGTACACCAAGCCATAGTTAACCTGAAGAAAATTCTCGGCAGACAAGCTTTACAAAGGAATCTAAACCCCTGTTCAGACCACTCACATTTTATGTGACAAAATCCTGTGACATACCTAAATATGGTCATGATGACATTACATCATGACCATATATAGGCACATCATGACTATATATGGGCATACAACAGGTTTTTTTTGTCAAAGGCAATCTTGACAAAAAATTTATAGTTTTAGTAGACAAGCTAAAAGGAATCTGAGGCCTTGTCCCGACTATCAAGTTTTTGTTGAGAAAAAACAAGGACATTCCTAAATATGGTCATGAAGACATCACATCATGACCACATATAGGCATATCTTGACTATATATGGGCATACAACAGGTTTTTTTTTTTTTTGTCAAAGAAAATTTGGACAGAGCTTCAAGCTAAGTTTATGTCCCTGTTATGACTTGCGAAGTTGCTGATAGCACTCATGTCCAAAAATCATTCATGAAAATATGAACATAAAAGCATAACAATTTTATTTTGTAAAATTGGTATTAATATTCTTTCTGTGATAACAGAAAAGGAATTTGTTCATGCTGTATTTTAAATCTCCATCAGAATGTAATCTGTTATTTTTAAGTTACTCTGTAGTACATGCGATGGGTCTTTTTTAAATTGTCACCGAAATATGTGACATTGATTTGTGTAAGTAGACGTTAGATAAATGTAAAATAATAATTCAAGCAGTTAGAAATACTGTTTAAAAAAGTTTGAATAAATAAAATGTTTGTGTCCATACATTGTTCATACTTGTAGTTTTTATAACCCAACATTTCTTGATTTGATGATTATTAACTTTTCGTCATAAAGTGCGTCAAAGATTAAAAGTACATGATTAAAAAAATGACTATTTGTAGTACACAGTCTGTGATATTTCATTATTTTTCTCTCAACTGTCTGCCAAAAAAAAAATCTCGAAAACCTAAAAAAATCAATTGCAACTTCAATTATTAACTTCAAACCAGAAACAGCTAGCATTACCTCTACCAAGTGCCTGAATACTGAACAAAACGCAAGCTGTGTATGGTGGGCGATTCCATTATTTTTTCCGCGATTATTTTCTTTATGCTCAGGGATAAAACATTTCCGTGACTTTGACGGAGGTAATAAAAACTATTTCACTACTGTATAAAAAAATATATATATTTTAATTGATTACCAGTTAAATTAATGAGTTTCCACAAACTTCCTTAAACAACTGTAAAAATATGGGGGGGGGGGGAATTAAAATATGTATATATATATATAGATTAAAAGGCAAAATACTGGAAAACAACAATGCTGTGGTAAACAATGGCTGGATCTCAGTAGAGATACAAAAATGATAAGCAACAGCTAAAAAGTAAACGTAAGTAAACAGCCAGAAATAGAACCAGAGCTTTCGGACAACACTAGTCCTTCCTCAGTGG